AAGGAAGGAAGGAAGGAAGGAAGGAAGGAAGGAAGGAAGGAAGGAAGGAAGGAAGGAAGGAAGGAAGGAAGGAAGAAGGAAGGAAGAAAGAAAGAGAAAGGTGGGATTTTAGCTGGGACTTGAAGGAAGCCAGGAAAGATGGGAAGTAGAGATGAAGAGGGAGAGAATTCCAGGTTTGGGGAACAGCCAGTAAAAGTGCTTGGAGTCTGGAGATGGAGTGTTGTGTTTGAGTAAGAGCAAGGAGGCAGGTGTCACTGGATCACAGAGTACACAGAGGTGTGTACAGAATAAGAATACTGCAAAGGCAGGAAAGGGCCGGGTTAGGAAGGACTTTAAAAGTCAAACTGAGGATTTTCCATTTGATGCTGGAGGCAATAAGGAACCACTGGATTTGAGCCACAGGTAGCAAAGATTTGAACCCAGCTTCTCTGAGCTCAGCACTCTTTCCTCTATACTCTTAAAAAAAAAAAGTAATCCATAGCGAGCCAGAGAGCCCAAATGGAGAATCCAATGAATGACAACTCTGCCTTTCCTCCTGCCTCAGTTTCAGTTCTGCTCTAGAGACACAGGTCATAAGATTAAAGGTCTTGATGCTCGTAGTCTGGAGTCCATTTCAGGCCAAGGCAATCCTGTATCTGATTCAATACCAGATTACTTCCCAATTAAGGGTATTCTTGATGGGCCTCCTATGAATTTATTGCTTTCAGATTTCTCTTAGAAGGTCTATCAGCATAGGAGAGGTAGGCAATAAAATGAATATGGTGCATAGATTGCCACTGGAAACGGGAGAGGCTGGGAGAGGCTGGAAAAGGCGTTGGATTTCAAGTGAGGTTTTTTAGCCCCAGCTGTCCCTTCTGTTCAATATTGGTCACTTTGGTTCCCTGGACTTCACTTTCCTCATCTGCAAAAGAAGGAAGGAAACAAGCATTTATTAAGTACCTACTGTGTGTTAGGTACTACGCTAGATGCTTTTACAAATATTACCTCCTTTGTTCCTCACAACAAACCTGGAAGGTGCTGTTATCATCCCTATTTTATGGTTGAGGAAACTGCAGTGACTGACCGGGGTAACTGACTTATCTAGGGTCACACAGCAGGTAAGTCTCCTACCTGGTAAAGTGGATTTGAACTAAAGTCTTTCTGATTCTAGGCCCAGTACTCTATCCATTGTGCCACTTAGGAGGGTTGATCTCTTCTAACTTTAAATCCTATAACTAGAAAATCTCTAAGGACATAGAACTTTATAGCTAGAAAGAACCTTCAGGATTATTTAGTCCAATTCTCCTATTTACTGAGGCCCAGAGAAGCTAAGTAGCTTGTCCAAAGTTACCCAGCTACTTAGAGGCAACCAAGTGGCTCATGGATGGTGTGCTAGGTCGGAAAGACCTGACCATGGGCAAGTCATTTAATCTTTAGAAGCCTCATTTTTCTCCTTTGTAAGAAGAGGGTTATAATAACACCTACCTCTCAAGGTTGTTGGGAGGTCCAAATGAGATAATATAATCTACAAACCTTCGAGTGCTATGTAATTGCTAACTAGAAGTAGGAAACCCAGAGAGTTTAAGGGACTTTTTCATTACCCAGCTCCCTAGTGGCAGAGGCCAAACTGAAACCAAGGCCCTCAGACTCCTCGTTGTCCAGAGCTCTTTCCTCTATACCATGGTGTATGGTTGGCATCCCTCTGAAGGCCTGGACTTCACCGAGCTCCACACATCTGGGACAGAGAGAGAGAGAGACAGAGAGGGAGAGGAAGAGGAGTCAAGGGAACTCTGAAAGTATGGTGATTTTGTCAGGGGCTCTCCAATCCCATTCTCCTTGTGGAGTCACTAGCAGGGCCCAAGGTGGGTGGTCTATCTGTTAATAACAGTTTAAGAAAAGGCTTCCTCCCTGCAATATTTATCATGGAGATCTGTTAAAGATCAACAAGATTTCAAGACCAAAAGGAATGAAAGCATAATATATATGATATTTGTATAGCATTTATGTTCTATATTTATACATTTATATATGAAATAGCTTTTTATATCATATATAACATTTATATATGATATTTAATTCCTTTTGGTCTTGAAGCCTTCTTGGTCTTTAACAGATCTTTATGTTAAATAACCCTGGGAAGAGATATAAATAGATAGATAGATAGATAGATAGATAGATAGATAGATAGATAGATAGATTAAGAGAGAGAGAGAGATGAAAATATCATATGGATGATATTTTCATTCATTCTGATCTTGAAAGCTTGTCTTTAACATAATATGTATAGATGTTTTATAATATAACATCTATATATCTTTTATGTCCCTACAATAATACCTACAATATTTTATAAATGTTATACCTATTATACATAACACATTTAAAATGTTTTCATTCCTTGGAAATGTATATAACATATGTGTATAGTATGCCTATAAAATGGGGCAGTTGATATTTGGGGGACTGGGGACTCCAGTCAGTGCCTCATCTCTACTTGATATGGTTGATGCTCGTTCCTTGTGGGCCTCTTTGGTGCCTAGCACCTTCCCAGTAGCTCTCCCAATCCTTTTCACTCTCCCTTCTCCTCTGACCCCTTTGTTAATTCCGGTTCTGTTCTGACTTTCAGAATGGAAAGGGATGCTGCATTTACACAGAAAAAGGGAGAGAGAGCATGCCTCAGAGTTCATCTCAGAGAAAAGTACCGGCTACCAAAGGTAAGACATTCTATACAGAGAGTAAGTAACTATTCTATCTGCTATAGGGGGAAAAGAGGCGAGGAGGAGAAAAGAAAGATTTGGTTGCTATTGAAGTGGCATGTTTACCCATATGCTCCTTTGTATACATTGCAATCTGGCCAAGTTGGCATACTTGCTGAACTTATTATATGGTATTTCCTCTTCTGTGTCTGAAGCAGCTTAGGTGGCTCAGCATACAAAATGTTGGGCCTGGAATCAGAAGATCTGAGTTCAAATTCTATCTCATACTTACTGGCTATATAATCCTGGGCAAGCCACTTAACTTGTGTTTAACTGTTTCCTCAACTGTGAAATGGGGATAATAATAGCACCTACTTCATAGGGAGGGTTGTTGTGAGGACCAAATGAGAAAATATCTGCAAAGTGCTTAGCATAGTGCCTGGCACGTAGTAGTTGCTTAATAATTCCTTATTCTCTTCCTTCCTTCCATGCCTTTGCATAGGCTGTTTGTGCTCCATGCCTGGAAGTCAATCCCCCCAAATTCCTTCAAAGCTCAGCTCAAGTGCCACTTCCTACATGAACCCCCTTTTCCTGATGCCCTCAGTTGAAAGACTATCTGCTCAAAACTTATTTGGCATTTACTTCATACACATTTTATGTTTAATTATATGTGGAATATATTGTATATGTGTGGAATATATATTAATATATATGGATGTATTAATATATGTGGTATGTATATTAATATATCAATATATGTGTATTATTATATGTGGATATATGTATATTAATATATTAGTATATGTGTATTAATATATCAATATATGTGGGTATATGTGTATTATTATATGTGGATATATGTATATTAATATATTAGTATATGTGTATTAATATATCACTATATGTGGATATATGTATATTAATATATGTGGATATATGTATATTAATATATCACTATAAGTGGATATATGTGGATATGGAATATGTTAGATGTGGATGGGAACAAATTCCTTGTGAACAGGGACTGGTTCATTTTAATTTCTGGGATATAGCAGACAGTTAAATACTGGCGAGAGCCCACTCGGTAGTGGGATCCACTCACCAATCTGGAGAACGTGGGCACGAGGCTGGGAGCTCTAGAGCTGAGGTCCCTAAGTCCCACAGTCCAGGGTTTCTAGAGATCCAGGGACAGGAAGGTACAAAACCAAGCCCAAGTAGATCACAGGACTCCTCCAAGGCCACATGAGCAGGAAGTAGTGGACCTGGGGTCTGAACTCCCATTGCTCACTTCACATTCAGCAAGTTTTTTTCTAACCTTACCACCCTGCCATTCTAGTCTCCATGAGAAAGAAGTAGTTGGCCTAAGGGCAGCTAGAGAGAGGGTCTTCATTCTGGGGACTAAAACCATAACCAAGATCCAAACTGAAAGAGGAGAGAAAAGTTTCAGGCAAAGCACTGGTGAGTATTCTGAATCGGGTTTTTGGCTATATAGAAGTGTGGCCATTAGAAATGACATAATATGCCACTTCCTCTCATACTTTTTCTGAGCCCAATCCTCTGTTCATAGGCTCATAGTTCTTGAGCTGGAAAGGGTCTCAGAGGTCATCTGATACAAATTCCTCACCTTACATAGGAGGAAACTGAGGTCTAAGAAGGTTAAATGACTGACCCATGGTCACACAACTTTGGTAAGTGCCAAAATTAACATCTGAATCCAGGCTCTGACTCCAAAGCTTGTGCTTTTTCTACTGTATCAAGAAAGTGAAGGGGAGGGAAATGAAAAGAGAAATATCATGGAGGTAAAATTGAAAGGAGATGGCAGATAACTAACGTTCTTACCTTTCCCTTAACCCATGCATACAAGCTGGGTTGACTGAGAGAAAGATGGTGACATCAATAGAAGCAGAGATGTTAAAGAGATAGATACATTTTGGGGAAGAAGAAAAATTCCATTTTGGACATGTTAACTTTGAGGTGTTGATGGGCCCTGCAAGTAGAAATGACCTATAGCAATTTTAAAAACATATGGAACAGGAGCTCAGGGCAAAGTTGGGAGGCAGAGATACAGATTTGGGAATTGGTGACCATTAAAACCTAATCAATCAATCAATCAATCAATAAACATCTATTAAGTACATATTATGTACCTGGTACTAAAGACTGAAGAAGATAAAATCAGCAAAGGTCACTCCAAATCAGCTTTCTGGGGAGTTCATGAAGGACTACAGGTTTGAAACTAAAAGTAACCCCTCCTTGTCCTCTCCACCCACCCTGGTAGGGAATTGTTAAATACACTCTTCTGAGAAAACAGATTAATTTAATTCTAAAGGTCCATCACTGGGCACTTGTCTAGGAGGTCAGGAGAAATGGGGCCATGTTTCAAGCTGTTTCGCCTCAATAGGCAATAACAGGAAAGACTTTGAAAATTCTAGCCAAGGGTATTCAGACAAACCAGTGTTCCGATCAGGAAATCTGGAAGGTGCCACCGAACTGGGTGACCCTCTGTAATTCAAAGTCTCACTATTGACAATGCATTCTGTGTGTGTGTGTGTGTGTGTGTGTGTGTGTGTGTGTGTGTGCATGCAAGCAAGGTGTGACTGCCCTAATAGGACTAAAAGCCAAGCTGGCATGGATAGTAGCTGGTGCCATCATGTATCAGGTATATTGCTGCCCTCCATCTCTGCTGAAGACCCTATGAGAGAAACAGATTGAACAGCAGTTCTGGGGTCTTCAAGTAGATTTTAGAAAAAGCATCCTGCTGCTGATGGCAGTGAGCTACTGGTATGTATTTGCCCAAGAAACCGGCATCTTCTCCTCTGGAAATTTTTGAAAACAGAGAAGACAGATTTCTATGTGAAATTGTTTAGAGGTAGGAGCTATGGAGGGAGAGAGAGGGACCTGAAGTGTGAAGAATGGCAAGAAAACACAGCAGCCCAGGGGATAGTATACAATCACAGAATTTTGAGCTAGCAGGGACCTCATATATGTGCATTCCATTCACCAATGAGATCCTCACTAGAACACACCCAACAAGTGCTCATATAGCCTCTGGTCATGTTGCCCTGCTCTTATCACAACCAGTCTGATTCTGACCAACTTTGAAGAGTGAAAATCTAGGTAAGGGTCAGATTAAAGGGTTCACACTATCCCAACATTTGGGGAAGGGGAGAAAATGGGTTGGCTTTGTCAGATTACTCCCAGTCTGGAGGATGTCAAGGAAATCGTTCTGGGATTTTAGATCTACTCTGGGCCAAACCAAGCCATGGGTCTGGTGTGATCCAGGAGCCCATGGCATGACAACATTGTTTCCTCAGGAGTTTTATGGATTGAAGATTCCCCTTTCCCAAAACTGTCTAAAACTGATAGTGCTTCCAAGTTCCCATAATATCACACCTGATTTATTTGTAGAAACTAGATTGGTGGAGCTGCAAAGGGCCTTAGAGAATATCTACCTCAAATCCCTCATTTTATGGATGAGAGTACTGAGATCAGGAATTGTTCACAGAAGATTAAGTGACAGAATTAGAATGGAATCCACATCTTTCAGCTTCAGGGCAAGAGTTCTCTCCCTCTCCCTGTGCTGCAGCCTCCCCTCCCCCAATCCAGGAATGTAGGAGATATGGTCCAATATTTTAGTGAAGAGCCACAAAAAAAAAAAAAAAATGTGCTGAAAGATAGCACTCCACCAACTCCATTTTAGACACACTTGATTTCCCCTCGTTCTTCGCTGTGGTTTTCTGGGGGCTCAACCAGAGAAGCATGTGGGTAAATGTTAGACTGAAAGAGAAACCAAATTTATAGTTAAAACAAATAGACTAGGGGATGATATTTCGCTTAACTAAAGGAGGCACCCTAGGTTTCTTTTAAATACAGAGCTCCCCCTAGTGTATTGAAAATAGGGTTATATGTGCCAATAATGTTTTCCATTTACGTCTTCAGAAACATATCTATTGCGTAAAGGGCAATTCACTGGGAATATAGTTCTTTGAAATTTGTAAAAACACTTTTATATGTTGTAGTGTTGGGCCAACCATCACATTTTTTGAAAAACAAGAAATTAAATGTTTGTTTTTTTTAAAACTTGGCGTCACCAATGTTCTCATTCTGCTGCCAAGTCTACCTAGTCGCTCTCGTTTGTCCGATTGTCTAACCCTGGGTAACTTTTGATATCAGCGATACAGTAATAGCAGCTGACATCTAGTGAGCTTTGTGGGTTGCAGAATGGTTTCCTTCCAACTGTGAGGTAGACAGGACAAGTATTTTTTCCCATTTTGTAAATGAAGAAACAAACTCAGGCAAGTGAAGTTACCTACTCATGGTCATATAGCAAGAAGTAGGGAGGACCATAGACCTGGAGCAACTTTTAGTGAATTTGTCTTCTTTACATGGCTTTCACGGTCACAGATTTCCAAATCTGTATCTCTGTCTTCCAATTTTGCCCTGAGCTGAGTTCATGTCCTCTAGCTTTAAAAACCTGAATGGGACCTCAGAGACCATTTGGTCCCTCCCCTCATTTTACAGATGAGGCACAGAGAAATTCAATGACTTGCCCAAGGTCACCTAGGTAGTAAGCATCATCGCTGGGTTTTGAATCCAGGTCCTTTCTACTGTACCACACTGCTGGCCTTCAGTCCCAGCTTTCCTGAAGTCCAGTGTGAATAACCCTTTGGTCTTCTACCCTCCACAAGTTGTCAAGGATATTCATTATAATGACATCACTCAGGAACCAAAAGCTACTCTCAGGGTCAACAACTCTGTATTCTTTTGCTTCTGCCCAACAAGGAATGAAAATTGAAATTCTAGTCTGTCCCAGAGTAAATCGAGCGATTAGCAGCTCACACAGGAGGGAGGGAGATAAATGCTCTGAGATTCAGGTTGACAGCATGTAACACAGTCCTCCCCGTGGCTGCAAAGGCTCCGCCTCTGAGTGGAGAACACATGGAGCCCACATTGGGGATTAGGGAAGCATCTGGTTCCCACTGTTAGCAATGAGTGTCTGACCCGTTGCGCCACCTGGT